ATTAAAGCAATAAGGGGAATTGGGACGTAACCGCTTTGTCGAATTAAACTCAAATTCAGTCCGATAAATACCCATCGATCCTCTATCTAATTATCCCAGGCGCTGTATTATACCATCGAGTTTACCATATAACGTTGGAAATGAATTAACATGATTTGTAAGTCATTCGTGAATTTCTCATATGATTAAAAATTGAATTATCTTTCCAATTTTTGATACATGTACGATCAGTTATCCAATTTTGATTTATTAGCTCGGATATTTGTAAAAGTGGTCATAACATTCTCCTTGATATATGGTCGATTGATGTGTCATAATAGAAGTGTTTCATACTACATGTTCGTTCTATTTGAACTAAAAAAATTCCGTTGATAGTAATTTATAAAGGCTTTTTAAGGAAGTTTTATACACCAAAATAAAGTACTGCAAATTATTTTTCGATTAATTAATATTTATGAAAGCTCCAGGTGGCCATTTCATTTGTCGCCGAGAATCGAATAGATAACAGGACGTTTGAAAAATTGCAAAAAGGAGGCAAAATTCGAGAGATGAGGTTGAGGTGGGAAGTTAGTGACCGAGTGGATCGAAGTCACGATAGCTCAAGTAGTAGAGTAGCGGCGTATTTAGCCGAAGGTCGTGGTTCGAATCCCGCTCGTGACACTGACTTTTTTATCTCAACCAATACCTTTCAGAAATATTAATTAATTGAAAAATTTGTCAATCGGACCACAAACTATAATGGATTTAAGTGCAAATTATGTTGGCATTAAGGTTACTTAGTACACTACTCCTACATGGCTTTCAAACTTTTTTCAGCCAGAATTAAAATTGGTATCGACTAATGGAAACAAACAACTGATTTCACAGTAATGCCTACATTATAGGTCATTAACATATTAAAGAACCATTTCCGTTGATTGCAACATTGACGTTAAAGCGACATCAATCAATTTTGGACCAATAGTAATTGTGTGATGGTGTAGTCATCTAACATTTATGATTTTCGGCCATCTTACAAACCTATTGAATAAAAAACACAATTAAAATTTTTTGGTCCAATCAAGGTCGGCACGTTTCACTCTGGCATCAGGAAAAGTTGCCTTTATTTTTATTTTGTCATTGTGCACGGATTGGTAAAAAATCGTAGTTAAACAATTACGTTCTGGTTAATTTTATTAATAGTGACTGGAAAATATGATTGATACGTTTAACTTCCATCAAATGGTTTTATATTTTGATGATTTTCACAGTTCAAGCAGGCTGTCAGTGCTCAGCCCGTTAAAACTGTACAGTTCTAAGGGGGAAAAAGACTAGGCGAAATTTAATTTTCCCTATAGCCTTGACAATCTTTGGAAAGGTACAGATGAAATCGGCAAAGGTCCGGAACTGCGATATGTACATATGTCGAAGAAGAGAGAGAGAGGGTGGGAGGCCGAGGCTTATGCGGCCAAATTGAATTCAATCAGGCGAAAATGCCGTCAGCGATCCCTCCGCTTGCTGAACCCGATTCCTTTGAAAGTGCATTTGTGCTTTATCACAGAGAGGATCGCCTACGGACAATGTTCTCTCATTACACTAAAGTTAAAGCTTAAGCGTTTCTAATTTACCAGCGTTGTTTCGTCCATCAAAGCTAGGCGAGGCTACGTGGAAGTGCCTTGAAATTGGTATTGCACTTGTCTATTACACTTCTAGTAGCCCTATGCCCGTTTTAATATACCTTTTAAATAACAATAATATCTTTTTGTTGTGAATTTCTCAGATTTTTGCACTCATTAAAATTGGTTTATTTATAAAAATATGTTTTACAATTTAGCCATTTGGCTTATAGAAAATTTTCATTTACAAAAAGCAGGCCTTTTTTCTTTTATAAATGATTTCATGTATTTCAAAAAAAGTACTGATTGCAAACGGAACAAGTAACTATCATAGTACATTGTTAAAGTTTAACCAATTTAAGTTTAATTTGCCTCCTGCTTCAGTTTTATTTGAAGCCGGATCTCTATGATGGAATAAGCGAATGCATGAGCTCTTTATTGTTTTGACTTTATTATTTAGCCTATTTTATTATTTTTCGTTATATTTCAGTTCATTATTCAGCACATTTAATTATTTAGAATCTTTATTAAGATCGAAACGTTGGCACGATAAAGAAAATATTTTTCTGAAACCTACATCACACCAGACCGCATCTCACGATTTCTAAATAATTATCGATTAACGGTCACTAATCACCACATATGCAGCACATTGATAATTTCATTTATCTAATAGCCGTTAATCAATGTCACAAAAACATTATATTGGGTTGTCCGAAAAATAATGAAGTGTTATGGTTATAAAATAAAAATAATTCAATTAATGAGTGTAAACATTTTTTTTAAATTACAGTACCCTACATCACTCTCAATACACTTCTCCCAACGTGATGACAACTTCTGTAAACCCTCTGAATAGATTCACTAGTTTACGTGGTCCGCTTGATTGATTTCTTTCAATTAATTAAGGTTTTTAGTTGAGATAAAAAAGTCAGTGTCACAAGCGGGATTCGAACCCATGACCTTCTGCTAAATATGAATGAAAAGTGGCAAAACGGAGGGAAAATTCAAAAGGTGGGGTTGAGATGGGAAGTTAGTGTCCGAGTGGATCGAGGTCTCGACAGCTCAAGCGGTAGAGCAGCTGAATATCTAGCCGTAGATCGTGGGTTCGAATACCGCTCGTGACACTAACTTTTTTATCTCAACTAAAAATCTTAATTAGCCTTTGAATAGAATTTAAAATCTTTATTATTAACTAATTCTGTATACACATTTTCTAACGACTTTTGATCAATAATTTTTTTATGTTGTACAACGTTGTCCAGGTGTCTGAAAAAATGGTAGAAGATTGGCGAGAGGTCTGGAGAATAAGGAGGGACAATCAGAATCTCATAAACAACTCCAACAGTTTCGTGTTGTCACATGGGAGACATGGGGCCGAGCGTTGTCGTGTAACAAAATCGGCCATTACAGATTGAGTTAAGATGGCTTCAATAATGCCAATTTCTGGTGCATTGTTTCAAGTTGAGAGAATACATTGTTTACATACGGCATCGATTGTTTCGCCAGGATTCAAGAAGCCGCCCAAACGAAGCCCTCCAAAGAGTCACCATCACCTTTGATGAGATTGAGGCTTTGGAAAATGTTTCACCTTTGGCGAACTATTGTCCAGAACTGTCTGCTGTTATCGTAGAGAATCCAGTTTTAATCACAAGTAACAATTCTATTCAAAAAAGGTTCCTTTCTGTTTAGGCAAAGAAGTGTTGCGCAAACTTCATAACGATGATTTTTTTGGAGGTCGTTTAACAATCGTCCAATTCCGATATGCATGTATATCGAGGCGAGCCTATTACCGCCACTTGTTCTGCATAACCTGTAACTTGGCGATATCATTTTTTAAAAAATTGGGCTCATACTAGGTACCATAAACAAATTGAAATAAAAACTGACAAGAATTTGCACCAGTGATGAGATTTGTGGTTTTTGAATGGCTTCTATTCCTAGGATAGGGTCTGAGTGTGGATGAAGGTTGCCATAGCATTCTTAATTTAATTTAGGAGATGATAAGAAGGGGGAAGTCAAACAATCTGATTGTGAAGTGACATTCAGATCGGGATAAAAATTTGAATAATAATTTAATATTAAATATAAATTTAATTGAACAACCTATCGAATTACCAAGTTAAGGTAATATAGTTTTTATTAAACAATAATATTGATATTAGTATTTGACAGTAAGGATACTAGTCGTCGTTAGGCTTCATGTAACTAATAGCTCCACTTTCGGGATTGAGAATATTTTATTTACATCTTGCAGGCTATGTAAAGTCTTTTGTTATTTTATGGTACGTTTATAATTTGTAAATGAAAGTCATGTATTTCTCTTTAATACGATTAATATATTTTTAATTTAACACAACATGTTGTCCAATTTCATCACCTTATTTATTTACTTCACCAGTTTTCGTGGTCCGCTTAACCAATTACTATCTTTAAATTAATTAAGGTTTTTAGTTGAGATAAAAAAGTCAATGTCACGAGAGGGATTTGAACCCACGACCTTCGGCTAGATACGCCGCTACTCTACCACTTGAGCTATCGTGATTTCGATCCACTCGGACACCAACTTCCCATCTCAAACCCACCTTTTGAATTTTCCCTCCTTTTTAAATTTAAAAGAAAATTTTAAGTTTAAAAGAAAATGGCTTTGGCATAAAAATACATGTTTTCAGTTAGACTTACACTGAATAGGAAGGAAAAGAGTTAATAGAAGAGCATGTAAAAGGATATCGATTATTTAAGAAAGAATTCAAAAATTAACAAAAGTAAGATTACAGTTACAAATTAATCATTAACAAACAGTAATAAATAAAAAATTAAGTTTAACCACATTTAAGTTAATAATAATAAACCCTGCAGGCAAAATAGATAAAAATAACAATAAATAATGACAATCACATCAAACATGTAAAAATGTCGACAACATCCATGAAAAAATAAAACATAAAATGGAAACTGTAAAATTTTATTAATATACATTAATTTTTATAATTATTTAATAAAAAATAAAAATGTTGCAATATTTTATTAATATTTAATGTTATTAATAATTTAATTTTAAAAAATATTTAATAATTATTATAATTATATATATTATTATAATTATATTAATATTTTCTATATTGAATCAAAAATGGAACATACAATCATTCAGTGAATTATCTAAGAAATGGGTTCAACCAAGATCACATGGCTGGAGGAACCTATTCTCCAATGAAGAAAGCACTAATATGGGTTTCATTTCATTTTTTTCCGTCTAGTCGGTAATCTTGTCTGGACCCACTCAAATTTTCTCCATTCTGCTCCGATTTTGGCCCTTGATTCCGGTTTTGGTCACGTGCTCCTGAGACAAAGACAGCATTTCAGGAAGAAAAGAACCAAGGCCGCGTGACGTGAAGGGCGTGGTGCTGGACCCTGTATATAAGCCAGGAGTGGTACCCGTTTTAATCATTGTAGTTCCCAAGTTGGAAGACAATTTACAACCAAAACCAACTATGTTCAAGGTGAGTGGATGGGTTTAGCCGCAAACATGACAACAAAAGTTTTCACATTTACGTTCAACATGATATTATAAATTTCTTATGCTTAAAAAGCTTATTTACTTACTACCAATTAGTTGTTTCAATTACATTTTATCTATATTCTATATGTATCTATCGATCCCATCGTAAAAAGCTCCATTCAAAAGTTTTCACCTCGTTCCTTTATTAAATCTGTAAGCACCCTGTACAAAGCCAAATCGAATTAGAGTCTTATATGAGATGCGGTCGCCATCAATTTCTTTTATTTGGCCTAGTAAAAAACAAGTTAACAACCGACCAAAGTCGTTTTTTCCGCACAGCCTTGGATATTGGATTCGGTCCTTCCACCTCCGTTCCCTATTTATTTCTCGCTCCTGTAAAACAAAGCATTTTTTGTATTACTAAATGTTATCACAAAAGTTTTATTCGAATTTATTTTTTCTTTGATTAACGTTGTTATTTAATGAGTAAGTTGTGCACATGATTTATTTTAAAATGTATTATGGCCGCATAAATAAAACATTTAAAACAACTTTTTCGTCAGCTTAATTTTTTCTTTATTTATTTTTGGTTACCGATTTTGTTACAAAAAGTAGTCAATGATAGTATTCCACTTTGATTGTCTATCCAGTGGGCACGGTGGAGTTTCTGCCAACATGAAGATGTAGGTAGAACATTTTATAAATGGCGGTTCAAATTTGTAATAGATACATCACTGTTGGCAGTTTTGGTTTCCAATTTGTAAAGAATTCCAATAATTTTGTGACTCTTGATGTGGAATATCTAGATAGATTTTTAGTATTTGGTTCCCCCCCCCATTATGGCCGTGGTGTGGTCTTTTTGTACATAATTGAGGTGTTGGAATTTGCATTTAGGCTTGAATATGATTTACAATAAAATTTGGACAATATCTCAAAATGTAAGCAACTGAAGTAGGAAATACGTGAAATCTTTACACGGTCCTTATTAAACAATTTTTAACAACAGAATATACCGAATATTCTCTTTAATTTGTACATAAAATTAAATAATCATTTTCAGGCTATCGTCCTCGCTTGTGCCGTCCTGGCCACCGTTTCTGCTGTAGTTCTTCCCCTCGGAGGAGCCGTCGTACGCGTCCCAAGCCTCGACAGTGCTGTTGTCAAATCTGATAGGCTCGGAGGCAACTTCGCCTACAGCGCCGTCGAAGGTCACGCCTACGCCGTCGTCAACCCTGTTGTTCAGCACGTGCAGACTCCCGTTGCCGTATCTTACAACGCCCACCCCGTTGCTGTTCCTGCTGTCGCCAGGGTCGCCGTTCCCGCCGTCGCCCCTGTAGCTGTTCACTCGACTACCGTCCACCACCCCAGCTACCTCCTCTAAATATTAAGACTTTGCAATAAAATAAATTAAAAACACAAACACCGTTTTATTTCACACTTCACTTTATGTTCTACGCCTCTCTTTACGAAAGTAATACAATTATTATGTATAATATATTACTGAGGGGCGTCGGAAGCACTCATTACTGTAAGGTCGTGGGTTCGAATCCAGCGGCCCTGCATTCAAACCCGACATTGGTGACAAATGGGCTTTTTCAAAAACACCGGCACCCTGAGGGTTTATATGACCTCCGCTGTTGCGAACCCTCGTTAAAAAAAAACAGTATATTTTTTTTTTATAAAAGTATATTTAGAAAAGAAAACAAAATATTACATTTTTTTTACAAAATAATACTTGTAATGGCATGATCTAGTCGTCTGCCAGAAAAAAAAGTAATTTGTATTAAATAAAATAAATTAGTCTCTAATCAAACATATCAAAAAATATTGAAATAATTTTGTGTAATATCCAACTGATTTGGTCAACATCATTTTTTTATACCTAAACCGAAATCGAAAGATAAATAACGATATTTTTATAATTTCTATCATAAAGATAAATTATTAAATAACAAAAACAACGATGTTAAATACCAATTTTGTGTTAATGTGACAATTATCATTGTATATATCTGAAGAACCATTCTATGACTTGTCATTAATTTGAAATTTAGTTGAAAATGAACTAAATGTTAATATAATTGATATTTTTGTATTTTCCGACAGTTTATTGCCTCTAAAAGCATATAACAAAGGGTTGTATTGAACTTTCCTTTTCTAAAAATATCTCGACGCATAACGCTTTTCATTCTCTTCACCCTGCCAACCTACGTTGGACGGTTAACGTTGAATTAATGGTAATTAATTTTTGATTTATGAGTAAATCGGGGAAATTGTTTTACTTGCTTTCCTTTTTCCGAAATTTCTATGAATCGATTTCGGAAATTGTACGCAATAAGAAGTTTTGGAGACCAATCAACAATACAAACAGTTACAATTTCCGGCCAGAAATGTTTACCTGTGATGTTTTTCAAAATAGAAACTGTTTAATAATAGTAAAACGTACTATGTACCTTGAACTCACGCAAGATACGATGTAGAACTAAACTGTGTTTTAGGCAATTGTTGTTAACTGGACACCCGTTAATTCATTGGACTTTTGAATATCAAAACAAGCGCAAAGTACGCCAAATACTAATATAATTGATATTTTGACCAGCAATTTAATGGAGCCCACTGGAGAGTTTATGATATCAAATGTTTGAACTTTAGAAACTGCCGTACCGTTATTCCTGCTGGTAATTAATTATATTATTTATAGTCCTGTATTAAGTAAACATCTTTGTCATATTGTACAGTAATTTCGGCAAAACGGTTAACTGATAGGTGTTCTTCTATGGCCGGTTAAATTGTTTTTGACTTTTATGATTTAAAAAAATTGGTTTTAAACAAGCTTGGTTGTTGTCGATAGTTGCTTGATATTATAATAATAGGAGCATAATAAAATTACACAAGATAACAGTCATTAGAAATAGTTATTAACCTGGCGAATCTTAATTTGCCTGTCTAGTATGTTGCAAAAATTTTTATGAAACTTATAACTTCCATCACGACATTAATTGGATAAACGCCAATGTAAGTAAAAGTATCTAGACTTCATCAATACTATTTACTTCCAAGCTAATTCGATAAAATAAAAATAAGACCATCACCAAAACCCTCGTGCTTGGGGGAAAATTTCCCTACACAGGTCAAGCAAGGAACAATCTGTTCTTATTCGATCAAGGGCTCAAGAAGGTACATGAGGTTCCCGCATACTCGGTCATCCTAAAAAAGACTCTGGGGATCTTTAACGTCCGCACCTTGCCTATTCGGCCTGATCGGACGTTTTGATTCTCAAGATGAGAGCGGACGCACCTCCGCATACGACAGGAACATGTTACTGCCGCAGCATTGGTGTAGGGGCAGCTCAGCCCCGAAGGGCCAAGACAAACTCGCTCCCCGCTTGTCCATTCCAAGTGGCCGGGCCTGCATTGAGCATCAAACCGTATGCCGCGCGCAAATGACTACCTAAGCCGAAATACATCAACTCGGTCTCCCGCGCACTCCCTAGATAGAGAAGGCCACTCTATCTCCCAGAGTATTGGGGCTCCCATAGCGTAGAAACTACCGGATTCACTCCGGCCGCGGTTTCGTTTAAAGTGGAATTTCTAACCACCCCCTAGAAACCACCGCCTACGGTAAAGACTCCTATCGAGCTCAGCCTACATCTACGTGCAAAGCATACTCGAGTAAGAGCAACCGATTCACTACCCGTTCCCATCCGCCCCTACTCACGCATTCGAGGGACTTTCCAGCACAATCATCGCGTCCTCAACGCCTACGTGCTGCCGTCCGATCCGCCATATCCCATGAGGCCGGCTGTATAACGGTGGTCATACTCAAGTTTCGTGCGAGGGTCACAGGTAGAAGACAGCCTTTTCTCTAAGTTCCCGCCACGGGCCAACAATGAATCCATTCCCATTGTAACAGAGGCTGAATTTGGAACATTTCTGTTACCCCGTAATTCAATGGTTATGCACTCTACCCCGTCTGTGCAGACAGGATCTGGTACCCTAACCCTTGTGTGCCTCTAATGAGGCACCCGCCGCCCATGCCGACCCAAAGCCGACACGAGTACAGCGTGTGCTTTTGAGAGGTTACCACGCTCTCTGGGCATCACCGTCATTTTGCGCCCGGACACCCCCCTTATAACCAATGGTTGGGAGGGGGTCACAGGATAGAATGAAAGAACCTGGATTGAGAAAAGGACGTGGATGAGGCTCGAGGTGGACCGTTTCGGGGTCTCGAGCCTCAACCACACTATACCACCCTTTGTCGCCACAACTCCCTGGGTGGGTCTCAAGAAGGCAAATCAAGTACTCCGAGTTTATACATAATAATATTTTATAGCTATAATAACTAATCAACCCGAAGGCCATGCAACTGAAAAATGTTCTCAAATCAATTTAAAGAGTGAACACCGCAATAAAGAACGTTATCATTAGCATAAACATCTTGAACATCATCAGATGAAACCAGTCTTGGTTTGGACGAATTAATAGTTAGGTATTAAAAACATAGTCACGTTTAATAGGTATCAGAACATTCAAAGAATGATGACTTTAATGTCCTTGCAATATAAAAGCAGACAGTATTTAAACTCTTCAGTGTAGTTAAGACTATTAGAAACATCACCACCATCAGAAATAAAATATAAAATGAATGAGAAACTCTCAGTGGATACAAGTATTTCAAAAATCTTTTGCAAAACTTGCTTGGAAGAAATTACAATAACGCATCAGAAGCAGGAACTTGTATCAGATCCGTAGCAGAGCATCAAGACTAGTTGGGCATCTGATAAAGATCGTTGTGTGTAAATTCTGAGAGACATACAATTAACTCTGCACGAAAAAAAAGCACTTAAAGAATCGTGGAAGGAATCTAATGCAACAGGGTCAAGAAATCAAATTCAACGATAAATACATCCAGGCATGCTAAAGAACCGTAAGAACAGAACTTAGCATACACTAGCTTCTAAGGAATCCGTATAACGTGGCTCTGAATGTTCAATCATCGGAAGCTCCAAAAATTGTCATACAAAAATTTCACTACACATTTTAGGAATTTTATTTTTTATATTGAAAAAACTTTTGTGTTTTTATAACGTATTGCAACATAGGTATCATGTTGAAAAAAACTTGTACCACTTTAATTTAAAGCATTAGTCGCTTGCTATGAATACGTTTCCAAGCTCAGTAATCCCTCGATTTGAATATTAGACCGGCGAGAACTACTTATAAATTCGTAATTAAGTGAGGTTATAAATTTATTATGGTACGAAAACAGATTAATCGAGAACTAACAATGGAATCGAAGTTAGCTGTCAACATTATTCAGGCAAACTTAGTTGCGATTCAATTAATATAGCCCTACGGTCGCGTTGCTCAATACGTACGAAAGGAAATTCCTGTTGTTCCGTTCATCGATTGCAACTGGTTCAAAGCCGGTAACACACTTGGCTAATGACGCGGACCTCTTTAATGATCATAGAGCGAGGGCTAAGGAACAATCATTAGCGGAAATGATAATTAATGGGAAGGAGTTAAATCGCCTGCGAAGCCCTCGGCCGGCACATTCCGCCCCTCCGATCCGAGAAATGAGATTATGAGGACTAGTCGGGGCGATTTATGAGAAAACGGCTCCAAAAAGGCGCAAAGGAAGAGTTTGAGTTGCATCTTTGCCAAACGCCCGCCCCAACGTCATGCCATTAGCGGATTACAAAAAAAATTTTAAACTCCCCATGATATCGTTCAACCTCACATTCTCTTAATTTCATCCTATTCGTCAAAAAAGTTAGGAAAACGCTTAATAATATTGCTCCGAAGTAGAAATAAACTTTTAAAAAATTAAAACTTCGGCGAATTTTAATATGCCTACAATAACATTAAATCTCAATCTCAACTTCAGAATTAACAGTTCGTTGTTTAAATTTCTTTTAAATAAAAATGTTTCTTTCCTGTTGGAGTCCAATAACAGGACAATCAGACGCTCGAACGAGTCGGCCACCGAGGTCCCTATTGATATTCTGATTCATTGATACATCTTTGTTTAACTGCCAATGGAAGAATAAAAAATAATGGAAGAAAAATTATAAATCTACTAGTTTTCGTGGTCTGCTTGACCAATTAATACCTTTCAATTAATTAAGGTTTTTAGTTGAGATAAAAAAGTCAGTGAAACGAGCGGGATTCTCAACTAAAAACCTTAAATTATTGAAAGGTATCAATTGGTCAATCGGACCACGAAAACTAGTGAATTTAATGTTAAAATGAAGTATATCTTCACTAAAAGCTCTCCGTGGCCATTTCATTTGTCGCCGAGAATTTGAAAAATGGCAAAAAGGAGGGAAACTTCAAAAGGTGAGGTTGATATGGGAAGTTAGTGTCTGAGTAGATCGAAGTCACGATAGCTCAAGTAGTAGAGTAGCCGCGTATCTAG